TTTTCTTTGTTCTTTTTTTCACATATTTTCTTTTTTTATTTCATTTTCTTCAAAAAACAAGAAATTCTGAAGGGAGAGAGCAACAAATTAATTTTTCTTTTTTGAGAAAAAGAGTAAAAATGTAGAATAAAAGATTTAAGATGAAAGCTCAAACTCTACATAAAATCCTACCTTATTGCTGAAAATTCTACCCTAAATTTCAATGACGTCTAAAATAATAAATTCTATAATATGGTTAAATTCTATACACTCTAAGGCTTTCAATAATTTCTACAACATTTGAAAGCATGTATGTTTCTTGTGTTTCTGGTATTTGCTAGTCTCAAATTTAAACTTTTGGCTCCCTATGATTGAAGTTTTATCCTAACACAATCAACTCTTCTTTAAAAAGCTTCGGAAACTCATGATTGATGATCGATGAATGATAATTAAGCTGATTACTCCATATTTTCTATGAACCTAAACTCATTAGCAAAAAGTTTTTCAAAGTCAAGACCAGAGAAACTTGTTTCTGACTCCATGAAAACTAGCTCTGATTTAAGTTCTTTTGGTTTCTTGAGTTCATCGACAAAGATCTCCTCAAAACTTATATCTGACTCACTCTTTTTTTTAGGATAACACGCCTTGAAAAATAGATAGATTACGATTAGCCATTTCTTTGGTTCTAAAAATTGGTTCAACAAAAATTAATCAATTGGTATTATCCTTATTTCAAACTTGCATATATCAAAATAATTTTTTTGGAATATTTTCTTTTTTTAACAAAAAAAATTAAGAAAAAATCTAAGAAAATAAAAGTTAATAATTTTTTGGAAAAACTAAAAGACCTAAAAATTAGTGAGAGCAAAGAGAAAGGATAATAAAAAAATCTAATTAAACGAATCAAAAGTAACCACTTTGAAAAGATTAAAGTTTGCTCAATCAGTTAGCTAGGTGAGGATAATACTAGAGGGAGGCCAAAGACCAATTGAATATCTTTTTCCTTGTGGAGTACTTTACGCAACCCCTAAACCTTGCCTTAGACACCAATGGATTTAAATAAATTTAAATTGGTTCACTAAAGGATTTATTGTTCCCTAATAAGCTCGAGTTCTTAGGGGCCCACTTCTAATGAGTTTTGAAAGGTTTGGGTTTGTGTAGTGAGGAACTAGTGATTTATCGGCTAAAAAAGAGTGATATAATCCCTCACCTCATCTTAATTATGGGTTTTGTCCTGAAGAGTATTTTTAAGTGAGTGCTCCAATCAAAATGCCCAAATCACTTTGATAAATTCTTACTAATTATATGCAATGAAATCCTAGAAATTAAAAATAACTACAAAATGATGCAAAAAGAAATTTTTTTAACTAGGTTTAACAATCAACTAAATGTGAGAAAAAGAGCTCTTATTTAAAATTGTTATCTTGTTAGTAGCTGCTCAAGTGCAGGTGGATATTATTAGTGTCGACAAGAGAATTTTTTTTTTTTTTTTTTAAGATCCTAATTGTCTCTAATTGTGGGAAATAAAACTAGAGGGTGGAATTGAAAATACTAGAAAGAAGACATACCTTTTTAAGCAAATCTCCAATCTTCAATCTTCTAGTCAATCCTTCACACTTAAACACACAAATTAAAGAACTAAAATAGCATGGTTACAAGCACATTCCCTAGCAACGATGCTAAAAACTTGATATATATATTCTGAATATTGTGTCAATATTGTAAGTGCACAATCAAATTATAGTATAGTACAATGTTGATCCCACGAGGAAGATGTGTAGAAAAATTCTAACATGAATCGTAGAGTTGTATGAACAAAGAGGAGTGACAATGAAGAGGTACAAGGAGAGTGTGATTATTTACAAATAAAAGCATACTAGAAAAGAGGGAAGAAAGTGAGCAACAATAAAGGCAAATGAGAACAAAGAAAGGGGGGAAATAAAGAAAATAGAAAATAACAAAGCCAAGAAGATAAGAAAATAATCAAAAAAAGCAAAATCAAAACAAGTAAGATGGAAAATTTTAAGTAGATAAATTATGAATATAGAATTGAATTCATTAATTAGTTTTATTTAGGATTTATAAACCACTCTCTTTTTTATCACAGTTTGCTTTAGATTTATTAAACATAGATTATCAAATCACTTAAGAAAAGCATAACTTATTAAATTATTATCCAAATAAAACTACCATTCATAAAAAGAATAACAATTAGATAGTAAATCTAGAATTCATAAGCATAACCTTTCAAACCACTTAAATATAAGTATAGATTATCAAATTCTTCTCCTATCAATTAGTTCTATAGTTGACTACCCTAACAATAATCATTTTGAACACAAGAGAACAATCCAAAAATTATACAATTCTAGAGTTTCTACAACTTTTGGTTATACATTTTGAAAAATAAAAAATAAGAAAATAGAATTAGGCTAGAAATCATAAAAGAAATGAAATAAAAATAAAAACTAACTATAAAAATAACAACAAGAATAAGAAAATAAAGATCTAAACTATGAACATAAAGAAGAATTAAAAGAGCATAAAAGTAAATCTATACTACAAAAAATACAAGAAAGTAAATTCTACAAAGCATAAAAATGAACAAAATAAAAAAAAAGCATGAAAGTTAATTTTAGCTATAAGATATAAAATAAATTTATTCTACCAACACAAAAATAAAGAGAAAATAAAATCATAAAACATGAATTTTAAGAACAAAAAAATAAAAGAGAAAAATAAAAAGTTATCTTGTAAGGGGTTGGCCCCTTTAAAGTAGAATCTTCATCTTCGTCAATAAAGAAAAAAAAAATATTAAAAAAGGAATTTTTTTATTTATTACAAACTTAAAAAGTTTATAAGTTGAAAGACTTAATTAAAAGTCCTTCACTCCAAAAAGTTGTTTACAAAATTTTTCACACTCCAACCCCTCACCCTTTACTCCTATTTATAAACTATAAAAGCTTATAAGAACCATTGGATTTGGCTTGGGCTCCAAGTATTAAATTTTAGCCATAAATCTGATTTTGTTGGGAACTATTCGGTTGGCCAATCTGTTGGTTGACCGATTGGCCAATAGATTAGTAGACCGATTGGTTTATAACAAAATTATAAATTTTATTGACTTGTTAACCCGATCTCTTTTTGGTTCCTTAGGCTTTTGTAGGCTTCCTCTTGGCTTGGCATTGAGGTTCAATATATGGTAGAAAAATAAGGAAATTTGGTTCTTTAAGTCTCTTATTCATTAGCTCTTCATAAACCTATGAATTAAGATCAAACATGTTACTAGTTATATATTTATTCAAATAAAATAAATAATGAGGGTATAAAAACATAAAAAAATGTGATAATTATAAATGCAAGTATAGGACATATACGAGGTAAAACATATGAAAATCAGCTCAAAAACTAATTTCATCATCACAACCATCGATGGTAGCATTTGACCATCGATGGTGGATGGTGACCATCAATGGCTCAAGGCTCCATCAATGGTGTGAAAGTCCAAAGATATCAAAATCATCGATGATGCTCATCAACTATCTATGGTCTCTTGATACTATTGATGGTCGAGAGGCACTATCGATGGTGGAGCCATCTGATGCATAATTTAATGATTTAATCGCTACTGTTTACCATTTATATTATCTACAAAATCTACCACATTCCGCATATCTCTTTCCTAACCTAACTGTGAAAGAAAAACTTAGAGAGAGAGAGAGAGAAATAATTCTAGGGTTTTAATTTTGAGATATTAAAAATATATTTTGATTCCTTGGAGCCCCGTCAAACTCTAACTTGTCACACACAACATCTTCATATTATTTCTTAGTGAGGAGAGTTGCCCTCATATTGATCTTTACCGTCGTTCTTCATCAAGCTTCGCTTGTATCCTTCAAATGACTGTCTGTTTTATCAAAAGCTATAAGATCATTTTTATTTCTAAACTTAATTGATATTTGATTTGTATTTCTTTGAACTTCTTTTACGGTGTACTCAAGCCGATTAAATTAAGGGTTGGGACTAGCAAGGGCTAAGTTCACTCAATGCAAAGAGTTAGATTAGATGACCAGTTTGGAAGAAACTTGGGTTTCAGTCTTGTAAGCCTACTAAATCGGCTTTGTTATTCAGGTAAACTCTTTTCATAGCAATGAAGCCCCTTTGTAAGAAGGAAGAGTGGACATAAGATTGTCTATCCAAACCACTATAAAATCTCGTGTGTTCTTGGTTAGTTGCTCTTAGTGATTGTTATAGTCCTTTATATTGTTTATCACTTTTATTTGCTATACTCCACTGCATATTTTGCGTTTTGTTGAAAAATAGTATCAAACCTATTCAACATCCCCACCCCTCTAGGCTTGTATCTCAGATCCAAAAATGCAGGCCCCAACATTGTTACATTGCATAGTAATGAAGAGAATTCTATGTTAGCTAAAAGGGACTATATCACATAGAATTCTTATTCGGCGATGTCTCTTGTTTCATTTGAAAGCCTACTCAGATGCAGATTGGGCATGTTGCCCAGACGATTGTCATTCTCAAGGAGCTTTTTGCATTTACTTAGGTTTGAATTTGATTTTGTGGAGCTCTTAGAAATAGAGCACGATCTCTCTTTCAAGCACCAAATAGGAGTTTAGTGTAATTTCTAAAGTTCATAAGGTCTATTTACTACAAAATGTTGAAAGTTCATGAAGCTTTACTATAATTTACCTTATTTAATATTATAATTCTTAGTTCAAATAATAGTATTAAAATAAGTATACTATTTATATACTTTAAAATATCTATCTAATTTAATTTTTTAATTATGCTCTTAAGTAAATTACCAATATTGTCATCGTGTCATTTTCCTTCATAAGAAAACAAAACAAAATAGAAAAATCAATAACAGAACTAAATATTATTTTTTTAGATATAGATAACGGAAACAAATATAAATATCATGCATGATTACACTACAAGTATATAATTCTCCTCCATCATTGTCAGCACCTCTACTTCCTTCTTAAACTAATAAGATGCCCAACAAAACCATCAAATTTTTTATACGAAGTTGATTTAGTCTCGCGGGAAAATTTTCCATCTCTCTCTCTCTCTCTCTCGCCTCTCCTTAAGAGCTCTCTCTCTCTCTCTCTCTCTCTCTCTCTCTCTCTCTCTTATCTGTTTAAAGGGAACCAGAGAGTGTCGCTTCTGTGGATCTCAATCGCACATCTCTGGTTGTTGGCTACATAATCTTAGTCTTTCTCTTCTCTTCTAAATTCTCAAAAGAGTTATTATTGGAGCTATCTTCGTTCTTTATTGCTTAAATTTCAATAAAAAAATAAAATTGTGAGCTCTGGTTGACCCAAAAAGCCATTTAAATTCAATTGGATGGTTAATAAGAGAAACCCATTTGTGCTCAACTTAGATTTTGAGATTTGAAGAGCAGAGTGCTTTGTACTAGTTAAGGTGAATTGAAACTCTGCATCTATTTCCTTATTTACTTATGCTTTTATTTTGTGTGATATTTCTTGCTGACATCTTCAATTTTATTTGTTTAGATTTGAGCGTTTTGTGATTATTATCATGTCATCAGCCATATTAGCTAGAGTTGGACGACATAAACAGTTGTATGAAAATGGGTTTCGACTTGTTGCAGGGTATGGTATTCTCTCAAAATCTACTAAAATATATGTTTGCTATAATTAATTAGATTTTTATTTAAATCATAATTTAGAAATTAAATTTTGATTATTTGTCTAATTAATCAATTTCTCAACAGATGCATACCTTATAGGCTAAAGCCAGAAGGAACAGATTTGATATATAGACTGGAAGTACTCATGATTTCTACTCCTAAAAGACATGATCTTGTTTTCCCAAAGGTGTGGAATTGGTTTACTCTCTTAGTTAGTCTCAAACAATTACATAATTCTTGCGCATATATATATATTTTTAAAATTGTGTACTAAACAACTAATTAAATTGTGTACTAAACAAGTAAAATTTGTAACCAGGGAGGATGGGAGAACGATGAGACTGTGTGTGAAGCTGCAATTAGAGAAGCTCTTGAGGAAGCAGGAGTTGAGGGAATTCTTAATGTAGGTTCATACATTTTTTTTTCCATTTTTGATTTTTCTTGAATTTATGTCCACAGTAATTTCTCGTCTGACATATGGGTGGCAAGTGTTTTATTGTTAATATTATTTTGTAGTTTCTCTACTCTTTTATTTACTTTTTTTTATTATTTCTTTTTTAATATTTGCTTTTGTTCGTTCACACGGGGACTGCTTGGACTATCTTTTCCAGGATATTAATATCTTTTTCAGACTGTGATCCTGTTCATACCCTCCTACAGAAACAATTGTTTTTCATTTATGTGAATTTTAAAAAACTTGGAGACATTTGTCTTGTAGCTGCAAACAGTTCATTAAACTCTCACCGATGTTCTCAAAAAGAGGAAATTCTTTAATGTTTAAACCAAATAGAAGGAAGAAGATTGGCATATGTACTTGAGTATATTTGACTTCTTATTTTTGCAGATTTACTATGATTTAAGGATATTGTTGTCCATCTATGGAAGAAATTTCTTTTGATTATTTATATCCTAAGTGATTACTATATCTCACCAACCCAATTAGAAAAAAATTTAAACGTTGTAATGATAAGACAATCAGTTAAGAGCGCTATATTTTAAAAGGTTTGCAGTCATTTTCATCATCATTGTTATTATTGTTCATCATCATCATAATCATCATCTTCTTCTTCTTCTTATTGACCCCTATAAAAATCAAATTGACAAAAACGTTCACATTATACTGCCGTACTACAATTTTTCCTCTGTTCGAAATGACTCGCTTCTTTCAAAAAAATTCATTAAACGTATAATTCTTATTTTTGAGCAGTCATAATTAAACTTGATAATTCTTATTTTTTAGCAGGAAACCAAACTTGGTGAGTGGACATTTAGAAGCAAAAGTAGACAAAGCAGTAGCAGTAATGAAGGAGCTTGTAAAGGCTACATGTTTGCATTAGAGGTGAAAAAAGAACATGAATTTTGGCCTGAACAATCTACCCACAAGAGAACCTGGGTATATATACCTTACACTACAAAATTTTCAAAAAAAAAAAAAATACATTTAAAATTTCTCTCTAGGCACAACCGCTAAATTATTTTCTCTAGCAATATCGGTAAGTGTTATGGATACATTTAAAACTTTCTTCAAGGTACAATGACTAAATTATTTTCTCTACCGATATATATAGGTAAGCGTTAGGGATGCATCAAGGCTTTGTCGATATCCATGGATGCGCGAGGCTCTTGCTTCCTGTTTAGAACTTTTATCGGAGAGTCATAGTTCTGAAATTGAACGTAGCTCTTCTGCGACTAAAAGGGAGAATGATGTTTCGGAGCCCTCAAGCTACTACAGGAGTAGAGAGAATGATATATCAGAGCCATCTAAGTCTAACTACTACTTTAACGTTAACCCAACTGCGCCTGAGAGGGCAATTGATGCTATATGCTGATGAGTGATGAGTCTCTCTTTGCTAACTATTAGGTGAGATTGAGACTTGGTGTTAATGTGCCATGACATTGTGGAAAGACTACTGAAATTGATGTTCCATCTACTGAAATAATTAATGTTGTGTGAATTCTCAATCACAGCCGTTTGTTTAAGGTGGCATTGGGCAGATTTCCGATCCAATGGCTGTGATTGGGAATTCATATTGTTTTTGGCTCTAGCGACTGTGTTATATGTAATAAGGTGTATTTTCTAGTTGTCCTTCGAGCTTATTTTGTAAACGGTTTTTTTTTTCCAGGAAATCAATGTGTGCATAGTACGTTCGTCTTTTCATCTCTCATTTTTGTACTGTTTGAATAACTTTTTGTTGGATATTGTAAGTGAGTTCTTTATTTAGCCTTTCTTTGGGGCCTGTTTGGTTGCTTTATGTAAAAACGCGTAACAGCTACAGTGACAGGGAAGTGAATGGTCCAGATTTATCTGACAGCTACAGTAAATCGAGCCCATTTCACTGTTTTTTGCTGAGAAAAGCTGAGGGGCTGCCAACTCAGCTACAGTAACCACACTTATTTGAGTAAGCCAAGCAGAGGAGTTGTGTGTGATACTGTAGCACCTGCATCTACAGTATTACACCCTAAAATATTGGCAAACAAACATGCCCTTGAGCTAGCTAGAAAGTAATCAATCCAAATGGTTAAGCCGCTAGATAGTGGTTCTCAGGGATTATTATACTAACCTATGAACTCCAACTGTCTCTCTCTTCATTTGCGGATATATATAAATCCTCTACAAGGGACTATCTGTGCTTGGATTGAAAGAAAGTGAGAGAAAAGAAAATAGAAGGAAAAGGAGAAAGAAAGATAATTCCTTTTGATGTTTGGTTAGGAAGAAAATTCTAAAAGAAAATTTAAAGGAAATAATAATGATTAATGTATTTGGTTCGTGGTTCATATAAATAACATTGAAAATGCAATTAACTTATACTGATGATAATCATGTTATTAAATCTCTATCAAAATTGAGGGATTTATAGCAATTTCAATTATTTGAGGATTAATTTAAAAAAAAAAACTTCAGGCTTGACTATTGCCAGACGTGTCAGCTTTAATGATTTGAGGGCCTAAATTCTAAATATGAAAGATGTTAGGAATTAATTTGGAAACAAAAAAAGATAATTCCATATTAAAACTGTATACCTAGTAAATCTTTTTCTAAAAGGGCCCATATCAAACCACATATGTCCAACAATAAATCCAATTTACTTTTTAGTGGGGCCTATAGGAATATATGTGGCTAACATCTTTTTGAAATTATTGTAGATACTTTTCCTCAGTTTCTTCCATTTTCATTTTCTTTATGAAATTCCTTCTAACCAAACTATAAAAAGTTACTTTCTCACCCATTTTCTTTTCCTTTCTCCCATTTTTTCACCCCAAACCAAATACACCTATATGTCTGCAGGACGCAAACTTGGATGTCATCCATCACATGCGATTAACTTGACTATGATTTGAACCAGCAATCGTGTGTATACAGTAATGACTATTACATCATCATCACAATCTGTTTAAACGTGGAGCAGAGAAAGAGATTGGGTGATTTTTATGTTTCCGGTGGAGAGGGACTATTTCTTATTTTCTGCGTGTTCTGTTTGCAAAGAACCATACTATTTATAGAGACGTCGTTCTTCCAATCATCTCCTCCCCAAATTAGCCTGAAATTAAACCAAATTAATTCACCCATTAATCAGAATAATAACCATTAACAGCCCTGAATAATATCACATTAATTAAGAGCCATTTAATTCTCACTTAATAGGCTATTAATTCCATTGTTTTTCATTTAACACATGAGTTTTGATTGATTTAGTCAACCATACTAACATGATCTCTATTATCTACGAACTAATTAGAGTTTAGTCACTCTTCCAAATCGTTGAGTTTCACAATACATCTTCATTAATGTACCGTTTGGTAAAGGGTTAATTAAGGATTAAGGAGACTTAACCCCTCACTTAACCCGTCAAACACAAAATATCTATACAAGGATTAAAGTGTGTTAACCCTCTATAATTTGCCAAACATAAAAAATATAGAAGGGTTAAGCTAACCCCTCTAGAGAGATTAAAATCAGTTAACCCATCAAAATGAGGGATTTACTAATACTCCTATTTAGAATGATTAAGAGTTAATCATTCTAATTATAAAGAAAATAGTCAAAATCATTATTATTCTCAAACATTAAAACTGATCACAATGGCTAAAATAAAACTTATTTAACAAGTTAATAATTTAGTCATTTAGATTATCGAATGGGCTAAGTACATTAATTAATCAGTTTATTTAACCTCTCTTCCTTAAACCTTTGCCAAACGAGAGCTCAGATTATCGAATGAACTAAGTACATTAATCCTTCTATTTAACCCATATTCCTTAACCATTTGCCAAACGGGGGCTAAGGGCTCAATATCAACTCTAACAGTAGTATCTTGGGGAGGTTGAAAAACTAAACTGACCTAAAGTCCATGCTGTTAAGTAATGACATCACTTCTATTTAATAAGATCATTAATTTGTTTCTAATTTTATCTGTATGACATTATACTAAAAAATGAATATAAAACAATATTCTCGTTCATATGTGAGCATATTTCAAGCATATACGGAAAACTGTAATAAGGGTAGAAAATCTGGGGTATCACTCGTCATCCATGGGTAAACTTGAATTTTGATCTGAATTGACATTCACAATATCACATTATATGCAAACATTCACAATATCCACAATGCTTTTAAGACTTGTTTGATATGAGGTTAAAAAAAAACAGGGTTAAATTTTAACTTGGTAATTATTACCCTAGAAAATTTAAATGATATAAATTTTTAATGAGAATAAAACTTAACCTCAGATGGATCTTTCCACTCTCAACCCAAAATTTTTAAAAAAATTTACAAAAACACCCTCATAATTCATAACATACAAATAACACTAAAATTTCAAACCTTAGAAATAGCCCCCCAAAAAATTTAGAATTTGCAGAAAATACTTTAAAAATTATAAAAAATACTTGAAAATTAAAAATTTATGAAAATACTTAACTTTCAAAATTTCCAAAAAACTTCCTAGAACTTTAAGTCAAAAAACAGCCTAAAAATATAAAACTTGTAGAAAATCTTCAAGCCTGCATATAGTAAATTAAAAATTAGGATTACAAATAGCCCCTCAAAAATTTTGGAATTTTCCTAAAACTTTAAAAAGTTAGAAAAAGTACCTTGTAAGTTCAAAATTTACAAAAAAAACCAAGCGAGTTTCAAACCTACAGCCACTATTTTCAAAATATAGGAATTACAAATAGCCCTCTAATAAATTTTGACTTTGCAAAGAGCAACCTAAAAGTTTAAAAAATTATTAAAACCACCACAAAATTTGAAATTACAAGAAAATACTTCTCTGTAATTTTTTATATTTTAGGTTGTTTCTTTTAAATGTCAAATTTTTAAGGTGTTTTTTTTTGCATTTTTGAGAGTATTAAGGGTTTTTTTGCAAATTCCAAAATTTTCAAGCAGCTATTTGTTATCCTAGATTTTCAATTAACTATTTCTAGGTTAAAACATTTCAAGGAGTTTCTAGAAAAATTTTAGGGTGCTTTTTGCAACATTTGAAATGTTTAGGGTGATTTTTGCAAATCAAAAATTCACATGGGGCTATTTGTAATTCTTGGTTTTTTTGGTGCACTGCTCTCGGTTCCATGTTTTTAGGCTCTTTTTGCAAATTTTGAATTTTTGAGGCCATTTTTTTGTAAATTTTAAAATTTTTAGGGGTTTTATGCAAATCCCAAACTTTTTAGGGGGCTATTTTCAATTTCAAAATTTTCAGTGTACTATTTGTTGATTTGAAATATTTACATATTTTTTATGAATTTTGAATTTTTGAGGGTGTTTAGTGAAGTCTAAAAATTTACGGTGTTTTTTACAAATTTTAAAATTTTAGGGGACTGTTTACCGATCTTAGATTTTCAATGTTCTATTTTAGATTAGAAAATTTCAAGCTTTTTCTGTAAACTTTAAATTTTTGGGGTGTTTTTGCTAAAAATTTAAAAGTTGTAGGTGCTTTTTACAAATTTAAAAATTATTAGGGTGTTGTTTGTACGTCTTAATTTTCAGTTTAATATGTTTGGAATTTTTAGTTTTTTGTAACTTTATAATTTGTATGGTGTTTTTTGTAAGTTTTTAAAATTTTAGAATGTTTTCTACAAATACCAAAACTTTTAAGGTTGTTTGTATTTCCCTGATCTTCATTATAATGTTTTAGACTTGAAATTTGTTGTTTGTTTTTTAATTTAATTTTTGATGGTGCTTTTTTTAATTTTAGGTATTTCCGATAAATTTAAAAAATTTTAGGGCACTTCTTGTCTGGTTTGAATTTTCAGTGTTATTTGTATGCCTTGAATTTTTAGGATGTTTACAATTTTTGAAATTTCTAAGATTTTTTTTTTGTAGTTTTGGAAATGTTGGTAGTTGTTTGTAATTTTCTATTTTGCAAGGGGATGTTCTAATTTTTTTAGCCTTTTTGGTAAGTTTTAAAACTTTTTTGGGGATATGTATAATTGCACATGATTAAATAATTCAAGCCTGAATTTTTTCACATTGTATTCTACCCCTTCACTTCATTAAAGTTTATTCTCATATGTGGTTAAACCTTTAATCTTAGTGAAATTTTAATATGATAACAAATATAGTTAAAGTTAAGAAAATTTTTACCAAGATGAACTTTAACCCCTTTATCCTTGTATCAAACAAGCTCTTAACGTTTACTTGACACGTTAAGTTGAGTGAAGATTCGCCTTATGCGGGACCAAAAAACCTTAATAGTTTCTCCTGAAACGGCACAATATAGAATTCCAATAGCTTAGGCATATACTATCTTTTCTTCAATTTCATATAAATACAAGTCTCAGTCCCTCTCCTGGAATAATGGTTGTAATAATGATAAAAGTCAAAGTCTTACATCTTTATTTTTTAGCTACCAACTGATATCTCACACCAGCAAAGAATTATTGACGGCATAGAAATTATTTATTAAGTCAAGATTTGATTAGGGCACTCTAACAGAAGCATATCTAACATTTTGAGACAATTTTAATGTTGAGATTCTATTGTAACCACTTACTTTCTTCAGAAATACAGCCTAATTAAGTACATATGTCTACACTCGATTAAATTAAAGAATAGTCTATGGTTCCTGCATCACTGTTCAGGAACACAAGCATGTGATTTGATTCTGTACTAAACAAAATAATCAATGTACTGTTCATTTAGGGCTAAAATATCATATT